AAAGGCTGTGGTCATAAACGTAAATTACAAAATTTCATGAGAAAGGAGGCATCGTTGAAGAATATACCTTTAACACCCTGCGGCCCTGCAGAGGCTTCACTTATCATACGTACTGTCAAGGTACGACCGGTTATTATATTGCATCAGTTTGTTAGTTATTCAAAGGTGGATTTATAAGTATACGCTTCTTTTCAGATAGACTTCCACTTCTCGAACATATGTTTCCTTGGGGGAGCGTGTTAGAAAATGCGCGTCAGGAGACAAATGAATCATTGTTGATGGGGGGAAAACAAAATCCTGAAATTTTACAAGTTCTTGAGAATTGAAGAACAAGAGCGAAACTGTTGGTGGCTGAACGTCTTGTGTTATAATTTCCATTTTCTGGATGTACACTATAGGTTAGGCCAAGAGTAAAATCACACACACACACACACACACACACACACACACACACACACACACACACTACAAAATTCTCAGGGAAATTGACAGGGTGGAAAAAGACGAACTCTTTAGCACGGGTGGAACATGAACAAGGGGACACAGGTGGAAACTTAGTACCGAAATGAGCCACAGGGACGTTAGAAAGAATTTTGTCTGTGTCAGAATAATTAACAAATAGAAGTGTTGTGGTGGAGGCAGACTCCATGCACATCATCTGATGATCTGATGCTGAGAAGGAAGAGAGGAAGGCTGGGACAGCAATATGGGTGGCAGTGCGGACACCCAAGCCGCCGAGCCTGACAGGAAGGGTGGTCTGTTTCCACTGGCAGTCATTGAGGGAGAGGGTGACAACTTTTCTAGCATGGTCTTCACTAATAGGTCATACTCTTCAAGCTTTAGGGTAAGGAGCATATATATATATATATATATATATATATATATATATATATATATATATATATATATATATATATATATATATATATATATATATATATATATATAAAAAATCAGGTCAAGTTACTGCACATCAGCGAGCCCTGTACTGATATTTTTTTTTATAAATATGCCAATTAAAAATGGACGATCCATTACTAATATTACGCATCTGTTGTTGTTGTTGATGCTTCAGTAGATCATTCTGCTGCTGCTATTCTGATTCCGTTGATCATTCTGTTGGCTCCGTTGTTTTTAGTGTACTATTACAACTGTGGCTGTTCTCTATTAATCATTCTGTTTTTACCGTTGCTATTTCCTGCATGATTGATCGTGCCGCTTTATCTACTACTCTCTTCTTAACGTTTATGCTGCTACAGCGAAGGAAAAATACCATCCATGCTCATAAATAAATGATAAGACATCTGCCGTTGTTGAGCGCAAAAGCCAGCACCTCGCTTGCCTCAGGAATTCTGATCTAATATTCAGACGTCTGGTTGCTAATATCCAGCTGATGTTCTGGTACGATGCTCGTAAGATCGCAGTCTCTAGATATAAATCAATGGTTACCGGGTTTGATGGCGTAGAATCAGCTATAATCGAGGTTAGTTATATGAACAGGTGTCATAGGCAGCAGTAGGAACAGAAACAATAATAATAGCAGCAGCTGGTGTAGCGCTACTAACTCATTAACATTCGCCCGCCATCAGAGGAATATGAGTATGAAGCTGTGGCTGGCGTCATATCAGTAGGCTATTCACTGACTGGTACAAGTCTGAATATTGAATCAGGATCCCGTAGAGGGCGCTGGAGTGCCTCTCCTAATGAACATGTTAGCATTTGGTTATCATGCCAATCAGAACAAACTACCGTACCATTGTATATAATGATGGCAATGTTCCTTCACATTTCTCGTCGTTTCCTATAAACAATAACTTGCCACTGCGCTAACAATAGGATATAATGATCTTTTTGCCCCTACAAATTCTGAAGCCGTTTCTTCCTCGATCATGTTTACGTTTTGAACTTTGAACATAAGAACATAAGAACAAAGGTAACTGCAGAAGGCCTATTGGCCCATACGAGGCAGCTCCTATAACTGAAAGACTCAAAATGCAGCGATCAGGCTCTTTCAAAGGCTTTTTCCTTTGTGCATCATCCAGCCCAGCCTGTTGTGGTAGTACTTATAGTAACGATGAGGACCATAGTATATATATACCGACGTACAACCAAATTAGAAAGTAGAAATCTGAACTATTGAGTTGTACAAACCGGAAAACTATTTTGTACTTGTGTTGCTTTGACAAACTAACCTAACCTAACCTTCCCTGGCCTAATACACGATATCTGAGGCCTAATATAGTACATATGTGTGCTATACTAGGCCTAGGAATATTTACGTTTGTATTTTAGCTTCATTTTTTTAAAGAATTCCTTACTAGTCAGTATACTACTATCTAAAACCTGAGTCCGTACGAATTCGTGACAATTGACGACCGTCAGAATAGTGGTGTCTAAAATGGGGGACGGGTTACGGCCAGCCGCATAATAATTCGTGGATGATTTGTGTGCACGGAAGTGAAATTGTATTTTCCTGTAGCATAACACTGGCTCCTTGACAACAAACACAGAATATAATTTTCACAACACCAGACATGAGTCGGCAAGTTATTCCTCTCACACCAAGGCAGAAGCAGACAAAAAACAAGAACCTGACTCGGGTTTCATAACGAAACAACATGCATTGTATTTTTCAAATGCAAAATTGGGTAAAATGCAAGATATCTCCGTTTTCTATTACGGTTCATTGTCTATATAAAATTACTCAATTTGAAACTTCAAAGAGTGTGCAATCACCCTGAATTACGCTTAAAAAATAACAGATTTTAAATATCTTTCGTAGTTTTGAAACTGCATTTCAGTTTGGGCAAAATATGACAAATCTCCGTTTTCACTTATCTGCATATTTCTCGAATAAACAGACGTAATTTAAACATTCAAATATGTGCAGCAATCACCGTGAATTACGCTAGAAAATAATGGTCAAGAGTAATATTCCTATTGTATTAAGGTTCAAGTGGCTATGAGAGTTATCTATCAAACTTCCTCACAAAACCACCGCATGTTTTCGTTTCTCGCTTCATAAGAAGAGAAGACTGAATCCCGCTCTATGGAGAGAGAGAGAGAGAGAGAGAGAGAGAGAGAGAGAGAGAGAGAGAGAGAGAGAGAGAGAGAGAGAGAGAGAGAGAGAGAGAGAGAGAGAGAGAGAGAGAGAGAATGAATTAGTCTGTTGTAACACAACATAATAGTCTGTTGTAACACAACATAACAGTAAATGCATTCAAATGTTCCTTTTACAAGCGATGTAAGTAATGTTTCTTCGATACACTCAGGCTACTTACTGCTGTTTCTGTCAACAGTGTTGCTCTTGTAGTGCTGCTGCTGTTGCTTTTCTGTTTTTCTTGCAACTCTTGCTATTGTTAATGTTGGTCTTCTGTTCTTCTTGCAACTGTTGCCGTTGGTGATGTAATTCTTACTGCGACATTCTATGACTTGACTTTAGCAAAGCTTTTGATAATGTGCCTCTTGAAAGACTATAGGAAGCAGAATTAGGGACAATTCTTTGGTTATTTCAAAGAAAACCCCGTGGCGGTCCCCATGGCTCAGTGGTTAAACACTTGCCCCTCGTTTTGGCCTGTAATTGGGGGACTTGGTTGGCGGGTTGTAACCCGTTTAGCGGGTTATAAACCAAGAACTCTTCTTGTTTCCAGCGGAAACTAGTAGAATCACACTTACCATGAGCTGTGGGAAAGGAAAGCTCTAAGCCTGCTAACAGGCAGGCAGAAGTAGGCTTAACATTAAGCAGTGTTTTTATTTTATTGGATAATTAAATTGTTGATAGGCTATGCGATATTGTTATTGCATGGAAGTAGGAATATATAATAGAAAACCAGTTGTTATAAATAGTGTAGATTTCATTACACACACAAATCACAATGGCGTGATGCATCAAATGAACAAATCATGAGGAAGTTATGTCTTCCTCATGAAGACATGAGGAAGACATAACAAAGAAGACATGAGACATACTTCCTCACGAATGTACCTCCTCGTCACGGCCCTTGTGGATTTGTTCAGTGTAGATTTCACTTTGTCTTAGTTTTATAGTTTGTTTACTATATTAACAAACTAGGTTGCTAACTAATTAAGATTATTCATATCATAATTTTATTCATAAGAATGTGTACATAAAGAACATAGAAGGAAGGGACCAGAGTACCACACACGGAATATATACCTCGGGAAGGATTCGGGGACCTTTGACAAGCCGCCGAGTTACTGCCCCCGTCGAGACAACTAGAGTTGGTCCAAGTTCAAAAACGTTTATTGAGACAATAAGACATATCTCAAAGGGATAGAGTAGCTTAGGCTATTTCTACCCTCCTCTACTTCAAGTCCCTCAAGCGGCGCACAAATTCAGTTAGTACAAATCCACAGATCACAGTTTACATTGCAGATTAAAATAGTAAACATCATTTAAGTGTTACACTCTTGGGGCAAAGTGCTTGTAGCTCCTACGTATTGTGGCTATCATACCATTATCACACATCCAAACAATTTGATCCTAAAGTTGGTGGCCTTAGGTAAATTCAGGTAAACAAATGAACTAATTCAAGACCGTTTTGATCATAATATTCTTTGGCTGCGCGTTAATAGTGACCTTATAAACACTGTGCAATAATTATAAACAATGTAACATGTCCTGTATATGTGTTTTATCAACAAAATGACTATATTATCATTTTATTATGGCTTAAAAATGACGTCATACGCGTGTGGAAGTACACAAACGTCTTCACTTTTTGGATCGCTAAGGGTCATGTAATATATATTTCACGTCACATATATATACAACAACAAAATTATTATTGGTATTTTTACATAATGTAAAGCATTAAATATTTAATATAAAGTTTACCAGAAGACGAAGAATACTATAAGTAGGGTTTGTTTAGAAATAAGTCTTCATGCGTGCTATATTGTAATCCGGAATGAACAGCAGGGCAGAAAAACACGCAACACGGCTGTTTAACGGGGCATTTGCTCATCGTAAGTGTTGAGTTTCGTGGGGTGTTTTATTTGTGTTTAGAACCAGTTGCCACTTGGAGATGATTAGTAGTACTGGAGGCTGACCTCTCCCAAGGACTCGCCAGCCTCCCAGATGACTGTGACGGATGCCTGGGCACCGGGGGATGGATGTAAGAGTTGGAGCTCTGTCTCTCCATTGAGGGTAAACGCCTTCCTCGCTACGGGCAGAGTTTGTAGCGAAAATAGTGATGAATATTATATATATATCGCATGTCATTGGGAAGAACAGAAGCGATACCTTCATTACAGAGTGATAAAACACTTTGTAACCCCTCACCTAACTTAGGGATTGCAAATGTTAGTGTTGATGGGGTTTGGTCACATTTTTCTAGGTATTTTGGATGTATTAACTTGGTTATATTAAAAATATGTTTTGGGTACATTATAAATATTTGTATGTTCATATATTATGTTGTTCTTTTTTTGGAGCAAGTTAGAAAAGGGGCGTGATGACCTAAAACCCAGACCAATGGAGTACTGCAGTTTTTGGATGCTGCTAATGAAACCAGTAATATCCCAAAAAGATTTCCTGGAGACATGCTAGTGCTATCACTGTGACATCACTCACCTTGCTCAGGGTATATTAAAAAACTAATTTCATTACGTTGGGTTTCTTTAATGAGATGTGGCAGCATACCTTACCTTGTGATGGTTTCAGGGATTAGCATCCTCGCGGCCGTCATCGTCCAGATATAGAACATAACTTGGGACTCTTTTTGAAGCTCTTAAGGGCTTCAAAAATAAAATTCTGGTGTGTACCAGAGTGTGTGTGTACCTCTTTCTCCCACACCTATTTTTATATGTAAGGTTTTTATTAAATATGAGGTTTTGACTGTTCCAATAATTTAGAATGATAGATATATATGGCTACTGTGGTGATAATCTTAGGGCTAAAGGCTTCAGCCATCACTTTCCTATTTAGGTGGTTGTGCTTTGCTAAACCAAATCAACCTTAACTAGACTTAACCTTACCTAACACTGTATATGTGCTTTGAAAATATATTTTTTGTACTTTGTGTGGTAGCCTTATTGAGTTTTTGTATAACTCATTTTAGCAGTAAAGTACTCCAATTTAATAGACCAGATTCATGACTATGAATGCTACACTCTCTACAATCCCTCTATATATCAGTGATTGTAGTGATCAAACACTAGTGAGGGTTTTATCTCTTAGAGACAGGCAATCAAATACTGTACTTGGAAGTTTTCACCCGAGTATGTTTTTTTTTTTTTTTTTTTTTTTTTTTTTTTTTTTTTTTTTTTTTTTTTTTTTTTTTTTTTTTTTTTGAGATATATACAAGAGTTGTTACATTCTTGTACAGCCACTAGTACGCATAGCGTTTCGGGCAGGTCCCTGGAATACGATCCCCTGCCGCGAAGAATCGTTTTTTCATCCAAGTACACATTTTACTGTTGCGTTAAACAGAGGCTACAGTTAAGGAATTGCGCCCAGTAAGTCCTCCCCGGCCAGGATACGAACCCATGACATAGCGCTCGCGGAACGCCAGGCGAGTGTCTTACCACTACACCACGGAGACTGCTAAACTTTTTTTTTAATCTTCCCAACCTTCATGGTACCATTCAGTCTTTCCCTGATCCTCAGTGTTACTCGATATCCTCGACCCTCACAGTACCAATCGGATTGCCCCAGATCCTCTAAATACATGCAGTCTCCTCAACCCTCATAGTACTATTCAGTATCACTGACCCTCACAGACACATTAAGTGTCTCCCCGATCCTTGCAGGCAGTGTGCCAGTCATTGCTGGTTAATTTGTTTCACTAAAAATGTAATATCATACATATCACAATTTTAATTTTTTTGACTTGGGCAGGTCCTGTCATTCTCTATGACTGTCTCATTTGGGCACTTAGTGCCTGACAGTGTCTTCTGGTGAGGGATCAAATGCTGGCAGTGCTGAATAATTTCATCTTTCTGATAAGTCCTCTCAAATCCCACTTCCAACCTTCATAGAACCGTTCATGGTTGGGCTTGTTGTGGAATGCCAAGATGTCACCAACTCTTGTACATAACCCAACATAGTTGGGTTATGTACAATTTAGTTGAGGTGCCATTGACAAAATGCTGTCCTACCTGACTGTGCATGATCCTTATCCTTAGATTCAGATTATGCTTCAGATTCAGTTTCAGAAACTTTTGTAAGCTGTTATAAAATAATCTTTGCAATAAAAGTAGGACTAAACAGGTGTACAGCAGTCTGAAACAAATTTATATTTTTGGCATAAAGTGAAAAGTGAATAACATTTAGCTTATAATTTGAAAGGTGGTATATAGTGTAGTTTAACTACAAAGTGTAGTTTACCATTAGAGCAATAAGACATATTGGCATAATTTATATCAAAATTACAATGATGAGAAGGCAATGTAAAGAACTAATATAAACTAATCATACCAAGAAATAATATAAATTTTGTATACTTAAACAGTGCATATTATGCACACTGAAAGCCTAATTGGTTTTGGTGGCTATTCCATAACTTAGATACTGTATCTTTAATTTTTAGTCATTTTGAGTTTGACCAAGTTAGACTTGAGGAACATTTAAGAAATGCTGTACTGTCATATACCAATTCTGCATGGCATTCTGTGTGATTTGATTCTTTATATGAACTTAAATCAGACATCAACATATTCAATTCTTAGGCAGTGTGTTACTCTACACAGCTGAGATTATGTAGGATCTTCAGGAAAACAATGCATTTATAATACTTCAAGGTTTTTACAAACATTTATAGACCTATGCAGGCGATGAGTCACAATAACGTGGCTGAAGTATCTTGACCAATCCACACAATAGAAAATGAAGGGACGAGGACCCTTTATAGACCTATGCTTATTTGAACAAGCAAAACAAGACAATGCGATATAGTAATCGCAAATTTGGTTGTAAAAGGATAAAGTATAACAGGCAGGAAAGAATTGTTAAAATCACAAGTAAGCAGAATAAGATCCCATACTAGAACAATGCCAGTACAGTGTGTAGTTGTAAATTACGGATGAAACGGAGTGCAAAATATATATATAGAAAATGATTTCTTCACAGAGTGGTAGAAATTGGAACAAACATGAGAAGGCATTTATGATAATAGTGTGTAGCCTTTACAGCATGTAGAGGAAAGCAGACAGGTATCAATAAACATTCAGTTGCTTTCCTGTAGCTACAAATAAGTAATTAATGACATACTATGCTACTTTGTGTAGATTACTAATTTTATATTTTCTTCAGATGTATGCAGTGGTGAATGATCAAGGTGCATAATGGCAGTGGTAATTGAAAAATTTGGAGAGATATCAAAACTCACTGATGAGAAGTTGAAGGAAGCTCTGCAAAACTTAGGTGAAACTATAGGACCCATAACATCATCTACCAGGTGATCACCATAGTGTTCTCACCATTATGTTTATGACTAATTTTAGGAGTTAAGTAAATATAAAATATTCTTTTTCAAGTGGATCATTCATTTGCTCCTTAAGGTAAGATCCATGGTACCTTGTAAAAGTTGCTAACGAATACTCACTCAATCATCTCAAGATAACCTCAAGATAACTCACTCCAGCTTGAAATGACCCCAGAAGGTTAATTCACTTAAATTTCAAGCCCTCGAAGCTCTCCTTGGCAGCACAGGTGACCGACCTGGGACCCTTCCCGATCACCACCAGGCAGCAGCAGCATCACACTTGCAACTTTCTAACCCAAAGAAAACTGCATATGGATAGCAAGGGGATAGAAAGAGTAAAATCGGGTGACCTTTTCAGAAAGTAGCTTTTCCTATTACTCAAAGCCATAGCCTGTATATCTATCCTTCTCAGTTGCTTCCTAAGGTAAACCTGGCATATAAAACAAAAGTAGGACAAGAAAAAGTTTCACCTCTGCTGCAGGTGACTCCTGTTGAACAAAAATGTGTCAAATTAAAATGAAAATTGAGCATAGAATTTTATTTTAGCTTTATTCAATGCTGGTCAGTTTTCCTGTGCTACTTTTTACAAAATATTGACTCATTTTGTTTATTTCCTACCTTTTGTAATGTTAATGCAGATGTTTTTCATCTCCTATCCTATGCATTCACAAATCAATGTGTACCTTGCTTCATTGTCAAGTATTTGGCTACCCCAAAATATATAAATACTGTATGGATCAAAATATGTACCCTATGCAACCAGAGGATTACCAAATTGAGGTTGTACTAAGCAGCAGACAATGCAGCAAACTGAGATCACAGATTAACTAGTCATTGAGGTAATCCAAGACTTGAATTCTGCTGAGCTTAAGTTCACAAAGAACCACCCTGGTTAGCTTGGTAAACATTTTGGTAGCCAAATTTATTCAGAAGGAAAGTAACGAATGGTAGGACATGTTGCTGGCAAAACCGTAGCTAGTCCCTGAATGCCAGATGAATTAGGACATTGGAATAATAAGCTTCCTGTAGATCCAGACACACAAGCCAGCAGGCTCTCATCAGAACCTATAGGGCCACAACCAAGATGGTTATACAAAAAGTTGGGTAGTGCATGTGGGCATTTACCCCTAACAAATCAAGGATCATTATCCTCTTGGTAATTATCTTCACTATTGGGAAGAGAGGGGGTTTGTACCCTCAAAAAAAAAAAAAAAAGTCGCAAAGCAGGGACTTGCTGGACAGACAAGGAAAATATGTGCAAGTTAGACATGGAGTTGACCTTCCAAGGCTGTGAATCCTTAGCCTATGCATGAACAAAAAATGCTCAGAGATATCTCTGAATTGATGTGGTAATCTGATAGCAATGAAGTAAAAATCTGGCATTTGGTAAATAGGTCTCTAAAGGAAATACAAATTATATTGAGTATTCTATTTTCAAGAATTCGTTTCCTTAAGTAAAATACAGTCAGTGATTTTTTGCCACCAGCTGTTGTTTCCATCACACCTGCTCAAGGATGTTGCACCAAAATAGGATGCTGCTGACCTCTGTGTTTTTCTTGAATAGAAAATCATTGACTGCAGGCATAAATTAATTGCCTGATATTTAAGAAAGAGGAGCTCAATCTACAATCTACAGTTTGCTTTATGTTCTTATCTATCATAATCTGTTATTTCTTCTAAGGAATGCAGTAGTTCAAAATAGAATTCTCATCAGCATTTGTTTCATATTCCGAGAGATGCATAAAAATGGCCAACACCTGTAGGGTTCATCCTGAAGCCCTGTCGTGATGTGACCTGGTGACAGTGTAATGTGGGGACATTGGAGTACCATCTCTTTGGGATGGGATGCCTGGACATCTTGAGATGTGTTATAGAGTCTTTAGTGGGTTTTGTCCTCTTTCTGGTGTTTCGAGAACATGCTCGGCCATAACTTGTTGAACAAGGGTATGGCGATGGTGACCCTGTCCTTTTTAAAATACTAAATTTACATTATTTGTCTAATGTAAATAAAAAAGTCAGTTATTTAAGTGATAAATTATCCACCAAATTATGATGGATGAATGTTGTTCATTTCTGTAGTGAATACAGGCTGTTAAGTGTAAAAGTTCCATATTTGAACATTTCTGATTCTTTGCTCTTTCTTATTTTTTCGATTGTTAGACATTTAAAATTTGGTCACTTTTATTGTCATTGCAAACAAGCACAGCCATGGGTGTTTTATTTAAATGATTCCTAAACCAGAATGTGTAGTTCCTTATTAATTTTTAAAATGTTCTTTCAAGCATATTTAACCCCTAAATCTGCAGTAGAAATTTTACTCGAGGCTGTTTTCTCTTGAACCATTTTTACTTGAAATACTGCACATAAATTGCTTTATAAAATACTGTATATACAATGTAGTTACTGAATCTACTGTATTACCATTTTATGCAGAAACTCAGTCAAGTTAATATGGCGGAAAACAAGCAACCCGACGTGCACATATTTGAAAAGAAATGGAAAGTGGTGATATTTGTTTCAGAACATCTTTCCTTTACTTTCTTTTAATTTCTGTTGGTTGAGTTATAAATTAACCAGTGTAATATGATACTCTGTATTTTTTATAAATAAAATATTATTACTATTATTATTACTCTATGGGCCAGTGCATCTCTATTCCATGAGAGGGGAGAAATAGTAATACTAATAAGAATTTGATAACAAATTCTTATGTATATTTATTTACATCCTATTCCTTACGAGATCTCTCATAAAATCTCATTCACTATAAGGTAGTTTCGTGTAGAGTATCTTCAAGAGATTTAAGGGGTCAAAGATGCTTATAATTCTCCCTGTATTGATTTATTTAAAGAATAACTTCACATATTTTAAAGTTATTAATGATTTAATAACTCCTCTCCAACAGAGAATTACATGAGCGTCTGTTAAAGAGGAAACACGAGGAGAATTCGTTTGAGAAGAGTGATAATGATGTCGATGGTGGTATGGGATCGGGGAAGAGCCAGAAAATTTTTGCCGAGGACAACTTTTCATCTGCTGACCAACGCAACTCTGAGGCTCATGTGTATTTTGGTGTCTATGTGCCAGATCCTGTTGATGATGCTAATGATACAGGTAGATGTAGTAGTGCTGAACTCTAAGAGTAATAGAATAATTTTTCAGTCTAACCTTATTTCACTTGTTTAACCACTGCACTGCACAAAGAGTCTTTAGGCACTCTGAGAGTCGTGCATTTTTTTTAAATTAGGCTATATTTTAACGTTTTTTTAATTTTTTCATTTCTCTTTGTGTTTTGAAATGGGAATACTTGAGTTTGGAAACATTTTGACATTAACTTGACCTGAACATTTATAAAAACAACAAAAATATGTCTTTGACAATTGCACTAAGAAGTTTTTGCCAAAAACAGGTGCGTAGTGCAGTGGTTACTGAATGTTTCATTACAGGCAGCCTACAATTTGTGCAGTAATTGATTATGCAGATATGGAGTAATGTCTATAAGCACATTTATGCCAATTTTAAAGTGCGCAGATGAATGTTAGATCTGTGCAGTTTGAAAATGCTGTACTACAGATTAGCACATAATCCTTGCTAATCTAGAGATCGTCTGTGTTCTAGGTATTGATTTAGGCTCCCACACACCCAGTTTTCTTGTTGACTAACTTTTGGGTTATATTTATGCATTATTGAACATCCCGAGTACAGTAGTGTGTTCTTCATTGTGCGGAGGAAAAAATAACTACTGTATTACAGTAATGTTAAAATAGGTGTTTTGTTGAGTAATGGCTAGAAAAATGGACATCTAGAGGTCTTTGGAATGTATATACAGTATCCATATTTTTCTCATGTAACTTTTAAGTTTAATTTGCTGTATTTTTGCAAAAATGTATCCTATTTGCAAATTGAGCAAATTCCTATTAGTCTGTAATAGAAAAACAGAGTTAACTATTAATTAACTATGTTCATCCTGTTATGTTGTACAAACCTAAAATGGTAATTACAGAAACAGACAATAATACAGCAATAGTGCGTAGAGAAGCGAGACATTACACCAAAGCTAAGCAAGAGAAGTGTATGATTATATGGCAGTCTAGAGCAGAGGTTCTCAATATTTTTCCCCTCACATGTTTCCTCTTGACATATTTAGCATGTATCAGTCAGTTTAGGAGGCTTTCTACAAATAAGTTACGATGTACATACTCTTAAGCACCAGTATTTTCAGTATTGTCGTTATATAAGTACAGGACTAGTACGGGGCATGCGTACCCCAGATTGAGTACTCCTACGCTTGATCATTTGTGGTGCATTCTATTTTATTAATTACTAGACTGAGAAGTCAAATATTGATACTGATCTTCATTTTTATAAATATCTATTCTCTTCCTTTATGTTTATGTTCCCTTGTATATATATATATTTTTTTTTAAGTTTTGCAATAACATGTAAATTATTTCAGATTTTCAGAAAGTGTACTTGGACCAAACAGCATGTCTGGCTGCGATGAAAAAGTACCGGGGTTCGCGATTCAAATCATTCGGGACATATGATGCAGCACTGCAGTTTGCAGAAAATGGTCCAGATGTAATTGTGTCTCATGGTACTGCTTCAGGGGAGGACGGGGGACCATCTTCAAGTATCAATGCAGAAAAACCCAGTCCCTTCCGTGGACCCAAATCACAAGACCTGGTCAAATTTCGAAAAGCTATTGAAAAGTGTGATATGGATTACTTCACTCAGGTTTGTTTGAAGATTAAATGTTAATTTGAGAAAGTATGCTTAAAAATAAGAAGAGAGGTTTATAATGCATTAGATAGCATCATTCTTGGATATAATTAAAATTAAGATTGTCATTAGTCATGGAGTAATTGAATTAGGCAATTTAGTATAATTACAACAGTTATCTCTGAATGTTCATAATACACTTCGGTTAATGAATGGTAAATCATACAGTTTCTTTCATGCTCATTAAATCAGTAAAGTGCACATTCGTATCTGCTTATGTTATTAAAATGCTTGTCATGCATGCTCAGTTCCTAGTTGGCTCTGCAGTAACTCTTACCAGTTACTCTCTTTGAACATATTTCTTCAGTACTGTACACTTCCAATCATTTGAGCTATTGCCATATAAGATAAGATTCTTCTGCATAAGTAAAGGGATTAAATTGTGCAGTGAGACAGGGCAGTGTTTGAGGACTGGTACCATGAGAAACTATTCAAACATTATGTCTCACACATACACTCACTCACTCATACACAATAAAGCACAACATGCATTACATGCACACCACCATTTTGCATTTCTGTATTTTCACTCTTCATAGTCACTAATTGGTAAGCACTCCTATTGATTGGAAGTGGGAGTAATCTCGCAGTGGGAGATTACTCCCACTGTGTAATCTTGCTTTCTAACAGGTAATGGGCAGTCAGTGTAGTGCCATAGACAAAATTCCTTGCCTGCCAGGGAGTAAGCCAGATAAATGGTACCTCGTGCAGGATACTTGGGGCTGGGGTCTGGGTTTGCCAGGCATATCTGGTATTGAATTTGCTTTTCCCATCCTGAATACTGCTCAGTACTCACTGCCCCTTTCAAGACAGGAGAGATGTCTGAAATAGAAGGAATGCAGAGAATATGCATTACACACATAAACACAGTAAAATGCCTAAATTACTGGGACCATTGCAAAGCACTCAAAGTGTTAGGGTCCAGGATAGACAGAAACATTCACTCTTTTCATTTCATATGTATGGGTTGGGGTATTTAATTTCAGCCGCATTACTGTGACTTTCTCTCTGCTTATAGTACAGTATGTGGTTATTCTGGTAGTGGATTGAGGATACCCTCCAAAATCTTCCCACCCAACTGCATGGCAAGACCATTTGAAGAGTTTAATTTTTAGCTGGAGTGGTAGTTGGCCCCAACCTGGTGTGTGAGCAGTGTCTGACTTGGAAAGAAATGTTTCATATTACTCAATGCATAATCTTTGGCAGCATTTTGTCTCTTACATGTTCATACACCCAGAGTAATTTATTTTATTTTATTAAGCAATTTCTTTGGAGTACTCTATATCCCATCAGTTGTCCAGTCTGAGGCTACTGTTAGGAACCATATTTCTTGAAAGCTGTCTTCACTTGATTTATACAAAAAACTTAATTCTGTTACTGTAATAATATTTTCTTGCAGTGTATAGATGAAAACCCGAGGTACCTGGTTAGCAGCGGTGACACCCCAGCAATTCTGCAGGAAGGTTTTCGTTACAATGCTCTCCATGTGGCCTGCCGCACAAACAGACCCACTTTTGTCGAAAAGGTTGGTTCAAAAGTTGTTATTCTTTTTCCTTTCTTTTACTGCATTACCAATAACTTAAGTAGCAAATGGAGTCATGTTTGAGGTAATTATTGTCATTACCAATACTTTAATACATTTTTGGAAGAGAAATTTTAGCATTAGAGAAGGGGTCAGGGTAATCAGTATTACGCGTGCTTGCCCATCAGTGTCTATGGGGAATGAGATCTAGTTCTTTGTACCTGGTGTATTTAAATTTCTCTATATTCTACTTCTTTGTCATAATTACTCTTGAGGCTGTGGATGCATGTAGTTTTAACTATTCTTCCTTTTAATGTATTCCACTTGTTTACCATCCTCACTGTGTACAATTTTTTTTTTACTTCTCTCTGACTCATTTAAATTTTTAACTAAAACTCATATCTTTTTGTCCTATTATTCCATGGTATGAAAATGATCTCTTTGTCCACCTTATCTATTCTAAATATTTTGTGCATCATGATCATATTCTCTCGACTTTTTCAGTTTGCTTTTTGTTCTTTACTGGATGTGGATTCCTGTCCAGTACTGCATGTTCTGATATAGAGCGTGTAATTTGTCTCGAAAGAGTCCCGGTTAAGGTTTTGAATGCTGTTCTTATGTTTTCCAGTTTCCCCATATATTATATGTTATCCTATTTACTATTTCCAGTGTCAGTGCTGGTATCATGTCTACTCCCAAGTCTTTATCTCATTCTGAAACTTGTCGTTGCTTATGTCTAATATTGTAGCATTCCTTTGGCTTCCTCTTCCGCCTTCCAATTTTCATTACTTTAATCTTGCTGGGGTTTAAGTCTAGAAGCCTTAACTACTTCCTACTCCTGTAGTTTGACAAGGTCTTCCTGTAGCACTGTACAGTCTTCGTTTGTTTCTACTCTTTGTTAGTAGTTTTGCATCATCTGCAAAAACCTGACATTTACAAGCTATAGGCCTTCTGGCCTATTGTATTTTCTGCTGCTGTCCAGAAGAGCTTGGACAGAACTATGGTATTCCGGGCCTAATTTCTGTTTTAATTTTATACGCAAATTTGTAGCTAAATGGACTTTTAATTATTGGATTGTGCAGAAGTTGAAATGCCAGATAATGAACCAAATGGCCTTAGTTGCCCATAAAAGCACTCTAGAGGAAATGAATAATTTATTTACTTCCTATAGTAAGCAGCTGAAATTAAGGTGAGCTTGGCTTATAGAGTATATATATTTTTATATACAGGTAACTTGCATTCATGAATTCAATATGTTCCTCTCTCTCTCTCTGCACAGGTGTTGGCTACAGTGTCGCAAGCTGAATTTTTCCAGAAGTTGTACCCTGATGATGCCTTAGAAAGCTCTGAAAGACGCAGTAGCTACCTGTTAGACCTGTACCTCAACACCCCCGATAAGGGACTTAATGAGACACCTTTACACTTTGCCAGCAAGCATGGCTGCGTGGAATGTGTCCGTATCTTGACCACTTACCCGGCATGTAACAAGTCCAGGAATAATAAGTTCGGTCAGAAGCCAATTGATGTAAGTTATACATGAAATGAGGTGAATGGTGTGCTTTAACTTTCTTGTATGAAAGTAAATGTATTTGACAAAACGAACTTTTTTTTTATCAGATTTAGCCTTTATTATTATGTAACCTAATTGTATTTATAATAGGCTCACAAGGATGATTATCCAAAACTTTATCATTTTTTGTTTTGATAAGTTTATTGCAGAATGAGACATTAACCTTTGTGTTTTGAATAGTAACTGATATGTATTTATTGTTCCTCTATTTTTCTGTGAAGAGCCCCTCCGGCTCCCCGGAGCTTACTGGGCTGATACGTACTGTATGTATTAGACTGTGGCATCAGTCAATTGAATGGAGTTCTAGCCTATGGGGGACCACGAGCCAGAACCTGGCGACTCAGTGAGGCACGGGGAGCAATGGTCTATAGAAACCCCCATGTAGTTGGAAGCAGTGTATGTCTGCCATTTACCAGGTTAGGCACCCAGAAAGGTAGGCATCCCAAAACAAGCTACAGCTGGTTAACCGAAAACCGAACTAGCAAGCAGAACTCCCCAAACCAAAAACAAGCAAACAAGCATGATGTTGCCATCGCCACCACGCCACTGTCTGCGCAGCTTTCCCCTCCAATGGATGCGTCTTCTGAGTCCCATCTCACTTCGTGCAAGTTTGAAGGTTGCTCTATCCCTTTGTCTCAGGTGATACTCACAGTCTTTGCCTCCACCATGCTGCCTGTTGGGTCAATGACACCTTTGACCCAGAGTCCTGCGAGTGTTGTTCCTTGCTTGTACTCCTATTCACCCAGTACACTGAAATTGATATTCGGGTGCAGTCAGCTTCAGCATTGCATGCAAGGCTTAGGTTGCTGCAACGCTCTAGGTTGGTTGACTTTCCAGATACCCTGAGGATGCCCCTCCTTGGTTATAGGGACCCAAACTTGGGGCCTCGACTTTTATTTCGTCCTCGCCCCTTGTCCTTCCCCTTCTGTTGTTCATCTTGCTCCCCCCTTCATGTTGCCGGCTCCAAAATGTTTGAGGGTTTTGGAGTTGGGGCAGGGTTTAGATGGTGGTGAGACTCGAGCGATTTCGGGGGCTGCCCCTTCCGGTTGGGCAGTGGAGGCATTTGAGCCTATTCCTCCTACCGGGGCTTTTGGGTCGGACCAGCGGACCCCATTTCTTCCCTGCTTTTCCGGTGGACTCTGCCTTTTTTTTCCAGAGGCAGAGGGTTTGGAGGACGGCTCTGCCCCGGGTCCTAACATGGAGGATCCCGGGGCTGGGGAGGAGTTGACTTGAGGGCACTTGGGCCCCATTTGACCCTGCTTGGGTGTTGATACCCTCGGCAAGGGGCGTGTTGTTGCAAGGGAAGGGGGGTTTCTTATACCCCCTCCCTGTAAAAGTTTTGTATGAGTTCGGCTTTTCCCCAGGTTCGGTTCCAGGTTCCCTAGGTTATTCAGTTCCCTCTTTCCGGAGGTTTTTGGCTTCCCACATCCCACCTAAGGAGGTTCAGAAGACTATTGCATCGTACCTCCTGCGAGACCCAGATTTTGCCTCGATAATGGATCCTTCTTCTTTTGAGTTTGGTTCCAATTTTCCTTACTGGGTGCATTACGAGGTGCCCGAGTCTTTCTGGTTGGCAAACTGCCCTTTCTTTTCGTTTGGGGCGTGGCATGCATCCTGTCGGACCCGCATGCCTGACCCGCCATTCATGCGGACCCGCATGAATGGCAGGAAACTATTACGGTGTGGTAGCAAACAAGTTTGCTTGTTTCCTTGGAATTGGAGGGAGTTTTGCCTCTCTGTTCAGTTTTTGGTTGCAATTTTCTTACCATGTGGGGTCTATTTTGTTATGCCTACCTTTCTGGGTGCCTAACCTCTGTCGATAGCAGATAAGGAAAACCCCCAACCATAGGGGGATTTTCCAGGGCCATTGCCCCCTGTGGCTCTCTGAGGGGGGCAGGGTCTGGCTCGTGGTTCCCAGTAGGCTGAACTCCTATGACTAATACCCTGGTCTATTGAATTGCATATTAGCCTGATAGTTCCAGGGAGCCTCCGGGACTCGCCCAGAAAATGACATTTCCTTACATTCAACATTTTTTTTCCATGTTTTAGAGGGCTGATTTACCCTTATCACAACATTTTAATATTGATTTATTAATAGTGCTTTAGACTGTTAGATATTTTGCCAGAAACCTCACATGAGTCTTTGTTCCCTAATTTCGGTACAGTACAACCTTGTTTCAATGAACTATATGGGCACAACCCTAATTAATTGTAGTGAGGGATTTGTTGCCAGCTGAGATATCTCTAAGGTGCATTTCCCATGCCTTATGGGTTAATATTACTTGGCAAAATTTTTATTTCAACATATAATATTCAACTACCAATTGAACAGGCCTACAAAACATTTAACCCCATCTAGCTTATTTCTCGTCCTCAGCTTTAAAACTAATTTTCAAAAAGGTAGCATCATATCTGAGTGAATGAAAACCTTGCCAACTCAAAATTAAAATAAACTATAGAATTCGGTTTTAAATATCCTCGATAGCTTTCCCAAGGCTCAAACTATTTTCTTGTAATGTTGAGTCCATTTACAAAAATTATCACAAACATGATTGGAGCCATACTAAGAGAGCTACCAATCGTACCTGATATTTCCCACGCTCAATGGGCTGCTTTCACTGAGTGAAATTATAATTTCAACCTGTCATATGAAGGGCAACAACCAAAAAACTTGTCTGTAAAGAGACTTAACCACATCTAGCACATTTCCTAGGGCCAAACCTCAAAATCTCATTTTCAAAGGAAAATGGGCCCATATTTTACTGAACAAAAGCCTCTGCAAATGGAAATAAAAAAGAATCATAGAGTTTGGTTCTAAATATGCCCAGTGGCTTTTCCAAGGCTCCAACTACTGTATATATTGTAATGTTACCTCCATCTATGAACTTGGTCCCAACATCCTAAGCAAATCCACACACACACCTGTGGTAGACGGTTGGAATAAGTTAGGTGAGAAGGTGGTGGAGGCCAAGACCGTCAGTAGTTTCAAAGCGTTATATGACAAAGAGTGCTGGGAAGACGGGACACCACGAGCATAGCTCTCATCCTGTAACTACACTTAGGTAATTACTTAGGTAATTACCCGTGCTTCAGTGAAAGCTTGTTCGTCAAATTGGGTGAGTAAATCTGGCATGGAAAGTTCCAACCAGAGACTTGCCAGATCAAGGTTAATTGAATCGAGGTTCCACTGTATTTGTAGATATTGTAGAGAGATAGAGTACTTCAAAAATGTCAATAATGGACAGAGATTGAATCTCATAGCATTAAGACGTGTTGGGTAAGTTATCTTTTTAAACAAATTTGATATTGTAATGCAGTATTGTACAGTACTGTATATTGATGCAGTCGATGAGTCACAATAATGTGGCTAAAATATGTTGACCAGACCACACACTAGAAAGTGAGGGGACGACGACGTTTCGGTCCGTCCTGGACCATTCTCAAGTCGATTGTCGACGTGAGAATGGTCCAGAACGGACCGAAACGTTGTCGTCCCTTCACTTTCTAGTGTGTGGTCTGGTCAACTGTATATTGATATTTTTTACAGATTGTTTGTTCAAGAATGAAAGAAAATAATTCCATCGTGGCAAAAGATATCCATAACCTGCTTGGGGATCTGTACTATGTGCCACTTTACCGTGATGATGACCATTGCCTCTTGCCACAAGTGGGGACTCCATGGTCACCAAGTTTAGACATGCCAACTAGCCCCATCAGCCAAGATCAGTTGCTTACAACCTTTCAAAGTCCTATTAGTCCATCATTAAAGGTATATCTTATCATATGTTTGAGCTTGTGTTTTAGTTTTTGAAACTAACAGTACTAAAACCTAAAACCTTTGCTGTATTTTTTAATGTTCTTGGTATTGCATTTTTATTGATATTGGATATACTGTACGTTATTTTAAACTGGCAGTAGTGTTACCCCAGGTGAAGGACACTATCAACCTTCTGTGTTCGTAAGGTCTTCCCTGCAGCCAAATTTGACTTGACACAATCCTAGCTTTTCCCGTTTTCCAAAAGAACTTTTTATTATATAAATAATATTCATTAATTTTACTACCAATCTCATACTTTGATTTTACTGCTTAGCTCTTCTTTTGATGTATTTTTCCTCTCGACTTATTCTGATTTTCTCGCCCTCTTATGTTTGATTTAATTTCTCTTTTGTTTTCATGCAGATGTGTAGAGTTTAATCAGAAGGTACATTATGGATAATAAACAATATGTAAAAGAAGTTACTGTATTCATTACCCCTATCATTCTTGATTCATTAACAGACATTCACTTTCCCTACTTTTCAAATTTTCTTTTACACCTGTTTTTATAACATTTAAGCCATTTAACTCTTCATTACAATTTTCCCTTGATCTTAGTCTTGCTTAAACATAGCACAAAAAACTTTCCTTCTTTAAAATTTGTAGCCACTTCCAACTTGTTTCTAATTTATTTTCCTCACATTCCACACAGCCATGCAAAATGGCATTTGCTTTTTGAGGGCCTGGGCAGATGCATTCCCAAGATTCGAGGCTATATTGGCATGTAGTGGAAAGATCTTTTTGGGGAAGATGTACCACCTGCCCAGTTCCCCACCTTTATAATACAGGTATTGCATGGCTGATTCTACCACTTATATGTATTATAGGTGACTACCGAATTGTATTTTTGTTATTATTATTTTAGGTACGGGGATATGCAGGTCCAATGAGTCCCACACAAGCAGAGGCCTTTCATCGCCTCTGGAGAAGCACTTCTACATCATCACCCACACCTCGCTCAAGTATTCGCATAGCATCGCTCCGACTCACAGATCAAGACAAGGGCTTGGAAAGACTGGGCAGGTGAGGATATTGCAATAAATGTATTTGTTGAGCTAGTTGAAAAAAAAAATACTGTTATCATGCCTTTGCATTACTTTATTTTCTTGTTATTCTCAATTCTTCAATTTGGTTAACTCCTTGAACTAGCCCTCTCAATTGCTTCCCATGTGGCTGAACTTTATACACGCTTTGTAAAGGGAGGAATGGAGGTTCAATCACTGCTTTCTTTTGGGCTGCACTCTGCTGAACTTTTTGGAAGGTGTAACTCATTTCACTCGGGTTACAGTCCCATCTGTGAAATACAAGCCAACTTTTTTGTAATTATTTATTGAGCTGATTGTGAAAGTATTGTTCACCCACAAATTAGACATAAGACAAATGAGAAAGTTTGTCATGAATGTATTAGTTTATATGACATGAAACATGAAAGTTTATATTTGTATTATAACTCAGAACAAATACATGGTTCATCTACTATGCCCAGTCTATTGGCAGGTCTCTAGTCCTTATTTGGACAAGTTGTTGTTTTACACTGGTGTGGAAGATACAAATGCTGTAAGATACTTATATTGGAATGTGGAGACCATCTTAGGTGTTGGTGTTGAGATATTCTGACACCAGGGGAATGTTTTCCAGCTTGTATTAAAGTATGTTTTAAAACATGTTGATACAGTGATTGTTCACAGTTAATAAAATAATCATCATTGCTGGAGTGCAAAAAATTGCATAACTCTTAAAATGTTGTTAACTGTAATTTGTATGTTTTCGTTCACTGTATTCATCGTTTTTTTTTTCACTGTGTCCACAATCACCAGATTTACAGTCACTGTTGTCATTGTTCATTATTTATGTACAGAAAATTGGCCGCTGAAAAGGATGTAGGGTGGAATGAGTACTGGGATTTCCTGGGTGAATTTGCTAACCTTGCCACAGATGAGGGACTACTTAAGCTGGAAACTTATCTCAAACAAAAGTTCAAGCAGGTAAGTCATTATTTGATATGCTGGATAAATGAATGTTATTCTTAGCTATTGAGAATTCCATGTGTCAAGACATTTTCTCTGAAGATATCATACAACAGTAACAAAGTGTTTGTATGAGGTATTCTAAAATGATTTTTTGATAATTTAACTCATATATTAGCAAATAGACTTGGTAGAAGAGCAAATGATCTTGTCCACTGATGAAGAACTACTGTTCTCACACTTAATCCACCGTAATTTGGATGTTATTAGCCACAGCATCAAAATTCTGGCGCTTCAGTGATATTAAAAGTACCATAATATTGATGCCTCCTTGGACAAAAGAGCATCTGCTACAATAGGTTAAGTGAGCTGCGTAAGTTTGTCAAGCTTTAGGTTAGGCAAAACCACCTCATATGTAATGCTTGTCAGTGTGTGACAAGGGGTTGGGGAAAGCGCCACTATTGGGGAAGCTATTTATGTTTTTCTCTTTACTATCAACTGCATTGCCACCTCATTGTTTCGATCTTTTGTATTACATATTTTCATAGCATGTTCAGTCCATTTCACAGTATTGTTTAAATTTCCTTCTAGTTGTTCTTTATTCTTACTCTGTATGTATTTTTGCAGTCTACTTATTTTGTTAAACTGAAGAAACTAGATTTTCTAAAGATTGGTTTGTATGTTTAAAGAACCTGCTAGAACGTTCAGTATTTCATTTAAGTTTAAATTCAAATGGCAGTAAAGCCTACATGTAAGATTTTCTAAAAAGGGTTCATGTAAACTTAGTATTCTGGGAAATTGGGGAGACACTTAGCCAGTGGATAAAATCAATTGGAGAGGTTATGTAACTAACATTTTCAACTTGATGGCAGAGTTCAATTTGCTTTATTCAAAGCTGGTATAGTATTACAAGGAGTACTTTCATCAACTTGCTAAACTATATTTATCATTTTTCAAGTTAAAACTCCTGTTTTGTGGCCTCAGATGTTAAACACTACTCTTCATGAGAGAATAATGTCCTGGCTATGTAATGGTAATAGTTGATTCAAATTATAATTATTTTAGCGATGAAAAGAACTGTAGTGTGTGTGTCTGTGTTTACAAAAAAAATGCAAGTATGTTGAACTTAATCAGTCTTGTATGTAAATGTATCGCAGGGGAAAAATCTGATATGAAATGCTGTTGTACTCTCTAAAATGAGATAATGCTAATTGTTTTATAACACATAAAGGATTTTATTATTATCAGTTCCTTTCTGCATATAGATGGTAAGCTCACTGTAATGCTATACAGTTTTTAAAATAGATTATTACACACACACACACACACACTCACTATATAATTATTATAATTGTTTTTCTGTGTGTGGTTACAGCTGCTGATGGAACGAGGTGAATTGGATGTCACCGATCTGGCCAGAAGGTTAATAGAGGAACAAAATGCGGGTGAAAATGTGCAGGATACTAGTCAAGAACTCCAAGGTTTGAGATGCTAAGGTTACTGTGCATGATTTAGTTTCTCATGTCCTCTCTGCAGATGATGAGTTACACTAAAGTGGCTGAAGGTGTGATGACCAAACCACACATCCAAAAATGGAGAAATGACAACGTTTCAGTTTCACACGTCTCGATCTAAATGTTGTCATTTCTCTATATTCTTATGTGTGGTTTGATCGTCACATCCTCTTTCTCCTGGCTTCCAGTGTGAACATCTGCAATATCTTGCAGATATTGGTTTTTTACTCCCAATTTTTACTCCCAGTTTATTTATTTATTTATTTACTTAACAAAGAACAATAAATTATTGGTTGCATATTCCAGTTTTGGTCTAGCATAAGTTAGAAATAATTATTTCAGCATATCTTCGTACATGTGCATAAAAGCTTTCCTGAAGGTGTCAAATATTATATAGGAACACATTCTTTCGTATTTTTTGTGAATTTCTGAAGATAAAGTACTGTACTGGTATTGCATATAATCGACCGCAGGACCTGTATTCAGTTTTCTTGATGTTTCATCATAGTTTATTATCCTCGTGGGTCCTGCTACTCCTCTTCACCCCCTTCCATTACATATCATAGGTATTAATATTCATAAAGTATTTCTAGACTGGAAAATATAACTACTTCATTCTAATTCTTCTTTGTCACTTTCAGTCTTCATTAACACTTTCGCTGCCCGATGCCGCATATTCTGTCACGGAACCAAAATACGGAGTATGCCCAATGACGCAAACGGCATCATTAATTAAAAGAAAATTGTAGAAATTCCATTTATGTCTGAATTCTATGGGTCTTCTTTGAAAATGAGCTCCAACTTCTGCCCATTCTCAGTATACCCCATGTGACATCCTGACCCCACCGTGTGGGCGCCTACCCACGCTGGAGGCACACACAATTCCAGGACGTATTTTAGATAAACACACGGATTTCATTGTCAACTGCAAGGAGATGGTTTCTGCCTTTGCCTTTGATACTGGTTGAATGAGAAAAATTAAACACACCAATGAGTCAAAAATACATTTGCATTTGATCAGAATTGGCCTATTTATCACTGTCTCCTGCGGAACCCCTAGTTACCTTGGGGTTCCGCAGAATCCCGGTTGAGAAACACTGGCCTAGAAAGTCCTCAATAGTCTTAGGCTGATTCTAGTCCTAAGGCTTACCTTTTTGATCTCTGTTATGATCAGTCAGCAGGATCTGTGTTTCATTCACCTTATCATTAGAGAAACCCACAAAACCTGTTTAATTTTTCTATTTTTTTTTTATCACATTTTCCTTACTTGAGGTCTACTTCTTCAGTCCCACTCACTTCTCGTCTCAATTTGCCATCTGATGAGCTCCTCCATTGTAAACAACTCTTGTACTGCCAATTTGATGATACAAGATTATCTTTACTATAATATAATAATTGGTGTTTAGTTAAATAGCAGTTAAAGCAGTTTAGTTAACTACCACTTACATAGCTCTGAACCCTACATAACTACATAAAGTGGCAAGAACTTTTGCAGTGTTGTTGAGCTACTCTGGTGCAATCCGTTGTCTCGTGTGTGTGTGTTTTTAAATTAGATGTACATATATGTGATATTTTATATATGGGTGTCTGCTGCTTTTATAATATATAGCTGTGTAACTCTCGAGTGGAGAATGAAAATTTACTCACAAACCCTTGTGGAAACCAAGGAGGTCAATTGAAACTTGTGCAGGAAAACTCTATATTCCATAATCTTAAAATTTGGGAAAATTCAGTTGTGTTAACTGCAGCTCTCTATGGATAATTAATAGATATCTTTCTTCAGAGGAGTGTTGTGATAATAAGCTGTACTGCCCGAATATCAGCACTTCCAGTAGAAGCACAATGAGTGAGCTGTGTCAAGACTTGGAAGCACTGCGGCTCAATGTTTCCCTCTCGCCACATTGTCATACACCGAGCCAAGATATCATTAGTGCCAGCAGGTAAACCATTATTTAGCTTCCAGAAAATGTTTCACCATTACCCTTGTAGTATTATGATTTTTCAGCCTATCCTGTTTTGGTGGTACTTATAGTGACGATGAGGACCATAGTATATATACTGTACCGACGTACAACAAAATTAGAAAGTAGACATCTGAACAACTGAGTTTGACAAACCGGAAAACTATTTTTTACTTGGGTTGCTTTGACAAACTAAACTAACCTAACCTAACCTTCCTAGGCCTAATACATATCTGAGGCCTAATATAGTACATATGTGTGCTATACTAGGCCTAGGAGTATTTAAGTTTGTGTATTAGCTTCATTTACTTTAAAAGAATTTCTTACTAGTCAGTATACTACAATCTAAAAGCTAAGTACATACGAATTCGTGACAATAGGTACTATCTTAACAGGAGGATGAGTTAGATTATGCCAGTGCTCAACCTGTATTTTTATTCTGTTTGCCTGCGACTCCTACCCCTTTCGCTAACAATTAATCGGCAATTCAAATTACCATCTTTAATTTCTATTTTAAACGCATGATGAATATCATATGCTAGGGAAGAGAAGAAAATTTTCATCACGATATGCTTCCCTTTCATTTTGTTTTGAGTAATTAATCCGTCACTAGAATTGTTATCAACACCATAACATTTCGTGAAACACACAATGCTTGTAGTGTTCTTTATACTTTAATGTTTGTATCTCCTCACTTGTATTTGGTCTTTTTCATTGATTCATTTTTCCCTCAACTCTGCAGTTTCTCCACTTGTAACTACCAGTGTTTAGTTTCTGTTCATTCCTCTTGCACCCATTCTCTTTATTATGAGCTAATCATTATGCAAATTGTCATATTATGTTTAAAGTGACTTATTCTATTGTTCCAAGTTTTTCATAGATAGAGTATATTTGTATTTTTTTTTTTATCCGATCATTCAGTATTTAAGTTTACCATTAAGAGGAGTTCACACCTGTCTGTTGGCTCATTACTTTACTTTTCAGGTATGATTTAATTCAATGACTCTCATCTTACAATTTATTTTATACATTGCTGTGTGTTGCCATATAAAATATTGAACAGTATTTGTTTATCGTACACAGGTATATTCTTTATACTGTACTAATAATTTTTTTTTTTGCTAATACTTCATAGTGTTCTATATTACACTCACAATACTCTGTATTAGTTTTCTTGAAGTTGTTTAATTCTCTTGTTATGGTAGCTTTTTAGACTAAAGCCCAGAGTGTTATTGCGCTCTATTTAAACAATTTTGCAAAGTAATTAATTTCCCTAAAATTTTGATAATTTGTTTTATCGGTGTAGTTTACAACTTTGTTTTTTTTTACAGTAAATTTCTAGAGTCCTGCAGACATAAAGAAATTAAACCTGAAAATAGTCCAAAAGTAGAGAAAATAGCGGAGGTAGAGCAAGAAACTGCTGGACAACAATTGTCGTATATAATCAAATCCGTTGATGTGGCTTCTAACCGACTGGCTGAGATCATGGGTGACCTAGCCAAAGATCTTCAATCAAACACTGTTGCTAACTTGTACATTGCTAAAACAGTTCGTACGAAGCTGAAGCCGGAAATTTTATGCTTGAAGAATGTTGTTAGCAAGTGTACCAAAGAACTGAAAGATGATATAAACTTAAGTTTCATTCACATTCTGTTAGCAACTAAAGTTACTGAAAGTATCCAGCAGAATCTGATGCCTTCTGATATATGTGTGTTAGCAGAAACGATGAAAACTTTTGTCTCTCATTTAAATTTTGTGCAACTAGATTCATCTGATGAAGAAGAAACAGCAAAACCAAATGCCATCATTGTAGAAAAGCTTGGTAGTGCACAACACTGTACTTGTGTGTTGCAGTGTCTTGATAAAGCTCTAAACATTGCATATAATAACTGTAGTATGGAAGATAATGTAGATAATAAGAAAAACATGAAGCTAAGTTTGATGCAGCTGGGAGAATGTACTTGTCGTTGGAACGTGACGGCAAGCGCCGCTTACTCTGCAGAGTCCAAACCTCCGTCAGTCGTTACCACAAAGTATACAAAGGCCTTCAGATACCTTCATGAAACACTCTTCAGTGAAGCGAAGAGAAGTGTGAAGGCTAGCAGCCGTCACGAGGACAGCGTTATCAAGCAGTTAACCTTTACCGAAGAGGAAGAGGAGGAAGGGAATTATGCCATAAATGTGATACAGAGCGTGAGCAGAGGTGACAAGGAAGGTGACGAAGAAGACGTTGGAGCATGCACAACAACAACACCTCCCGAGGAAGGTGCAGAACAAGACGATGATAGCGACAGCTTTGCAACAGCAGCATCTACTATTGAAGATTTAATGGTCACCCCAGAGGAAGGTGTCAAAGTTTATATTAATGGGTAAGTTTTACAAGAAATACCTGATGTATATTTGTTTGTTTTACAGTACAATAAGGTGTATAAGTATGGCGAGTAAATTGTTTTGTAACTCGGAGATAATATGATACTTCAGGGTTCTAAGTTTATTACACTAATATAAGTTCTAAGTTATTTCACTAATATGATACAATTAATTGTTTCATTGTTCATACAAGTACGAACAGTGAAATATATACTTCATACTTGTATGAAGTATGTGTGTATGATAAAAAAAAATTTCATACAACTGGAATTGAACAATTGTCATAAAATTCCTAATGAAAGAAGGTTCCACAGTACAATCGGTTCTTAAACACATGGTGGGATTGTGCGTCACCCTAACAGGGATGACTGGTGATTTAGGATCTGTTGCTGTGTTATGTAAGGATGCTGGCCCTGTTGAGCTCATGGGACAAGTTCAAGTATGTTTATTGAGATAAGAAAGAAATACATCTCAAAGGGATAGAGTAGCTTAGGCTATTTCTACCCCCCAAATGGGACAAGTATCGACTGTTTGGAAAAGTGTAGTCCCTGCCAATAATACAATGTATTGTTTTATTTTGAGGTGTGAGTGTTTTTTGTTTTGTTTTCCTGCAGTTGAGAATTTCCTACTCAGGATATTCATAGAATCATTAAAAGTGTGCAATTTAGGGAGTGAAAACTAGCAAGATAAATGTTAATGAGACAGATTGCTTAAATGTTTCTTGTGTTTGGTGTTGATGTACAGTGTGGAAGCCAGCAAAGTGGATGTTGACGTGCTGGCAGCTATTGGAGAAAGAGAACTGGACGAGATGAAGTATCCATATGTATGTCAGTGGCGCCACCTAATATCTTCTTACTCTGATGTACAGAGAGACAGGTAATTAAAGTACTGTATTTCAGTACAGTATATAAATTTGCTGTTGCATATTGTATTTGCTAATACCGACTTATTTTATTCTTTAATGGTATTCTCTGTATTAATTTTTTAACCTTAACAATTCATTGATTCTCTAATAATTAAAGGTACAACAATTTTCATTCTGTAGATATGACTTATAGGTTGAATACTATTATATTTATTCTTCAGTGAAATGTGGGTCTGAATTGTGGAAATGACAGAAACTGTGTGTGGAATTGTATCAAGTAGTGACGGGATTTAAGTATGCAAATTGCCATTTAAGATAATGAGTAAAAGGATTCATACTTTTTTGGGGGAGAATATTAATCCACTTGTAAGATGTGCACAAATAAGAGAAGCAGACATTTGTAATTGCAATAATGTATGAGATGAGAGAGTAATGATAAGAGGAAGACATATTGGATGTAAAAATCACATAAAGGCAGCACAATGGAATCACAAAAAACATGATGTATCTATGAGAAAATATTGAAGCTATATGATGGGATTGAGCCCAGGTCCCTGAACTTGCCAGGCATATTTGGTGGTGTAAGTGACTGGGAAGTCCAGGGATGAGGATTTGAACCCATCATATGGCTTCAAAATTGTCTTCCATAAAGATTTTTATTCTTTTACATTCAGTACTACAAATCGGTTTATAATGCAAAGAGGGTAATGAGAAAATGGGTGAAAAGCTTACCAATTGCTAGTATACAAAAAACAAGAATGCTAGAATGGGAATGAAAAATGCCACAGTCATAATATACAGAGGGATATTTCAAACCTTTTGAGTTGATGATGTAGTTAGTGTGTTTGTAGAGATCAGGACCAATGACAGCATAAAAGATAAACTGAATCTTGGCTGACAATCTACTGGCAGCCAAGGCCATGTGATCAATTACCTAAACTCTTGTTAATACTTTTTCATTTTCCAGTTGGCCATCTCCTTATTGCTCTCGCATTCGTCATTCTTCACCGGCCAACACTGCTCCGTCGAAGCTGTCACTTCCTAATACCCCTATGAGGCTCCGCAATCTCTGGATTCCCTCTTCAACTCCTCGTGTTCTTTTTGGCAAGATGGCTGTTCATCCAGGGACATAATTTATTTGTTGAGAAAAGGTTTTTTTTTTCCTCTTGAAAATATATACAAAGTGTGCATTTACCATGATTAAAAACAGTAATATCCCATAACCAGGTACATAAATCATTTTTATTATAACTTGAAGAAAAATCAGATGTTGTAATAAGTGCTTCTTTGACCATATATATATATACAGTGTGTTTTGGGGTGAAATTTTATATAAATTGATTTGCTGATTTAGTTAATTTAGTGTCTTAACATTGTTTAGAAATTATCATTTAGGTTAGGTTTAAATTAGCCTGAAATTTTTTAATGAACTCTTCTTCTTTTGATTATTTTTAACCAGAACAATAAACAAAGTATTAGAGGTCGGTAAGCATACCACCATGAGAACTGGATAAGCACCTCCAAAGGATACCTGATCAACCAGGCTGTGACTCATACGTCAGGCTGCGAGCAGCCGCGTCCAACAGCCTGGTTGATCAGTCCGGCAACCAGGAGGCCTGGTCGCCGACTGGGCCGCGGGGACGCTAAGCCCTGGAAGCACCTCAAGGTAACCTCAAGGTAACCTCAAGGTAACCATGGCTAAATTGTTAGAAGTAATTTATAATTTTCAAGTCCGGAGATTAAGAGCTGACTTGAATGATGTTTTCGTGAGCAAGGGATGGAGGTAGGGGTTATGTCTCCATGAGCAGGGAAGGGGGTGATGTTTTCATGAGCATGGAGGTAATGTCTCCATGAGCAAGAGATGAGTTATGGTATCCTCATAAGCATGGTGTATGGGTTAAGTATAGAAATGCCAAGAAAAAAGAGTAGAATTTAAAAGTGGATGATGTTTTACCTGTAAGGGCTTTACCAAGTCTCACAGATACACACGGGGCTAGTGTTTATAAAAGGGGCAAAATGGGGTCAGGTGCGGTGATGTGAATTAAAATGTTTTACAATTTATGCTTGACATTTATTTGCCATTAGGGGTAAAGATCACATTTCCTTCATTCTATTCGATGGTCTATTGTCTTCTTGGCATTTCTCTATAGCATTGTCAGCATGTTTTGTTCTTTGCTACCAATTTAGGTGCCTTATTTCCCAATAAAATATGTCTTCAGAAACAAGGGACTTCATCATGCTTTGCTTGGCCAAGATGTTACTAATATGCAGGCATATGTGAGGCTTGCAGCATGAATACCCATTTCAGTACTGTATATTGTTTCAGTAAGGGTCCTTTGGTAGTATCCTAAGATCCTTGCATGTGGAAAAGTAACTTTGACACTTAATTTGATCCCAACTTCAGTCCCCCTCAGCTCCTGGGTATAACCCTCTCATATTGCACATTTGCCATCCCAGGCACACTCTAGTCTTTAATGTGAGTCACACTAGCATGTCCGAACGGTAGAGCAACAGTGTCGCATCATGCAGGTTGGCGTTCAATCCCCGGCTGTCCAAGTGGTTGGGTACCCTTCCCCCCCACTCCCACCCCCAATGGCTTGTCAAAGATCATTGGGATGACCTTTGACAAGTCACCGGCTTCCTGTTCCTGTCGAGGCCACTATGGGATGATAGCCCTCGGGTAAATGGAGGCAAATATAATCTGGCCACATGTTGCACAACACTGCTATGAAATGCCACACAGCTGCTAAAGAACTATATAATATATATACACTGATACAAGACCTGTAATGTGCCTATTTATTAAGGGAAATTGGTAAAGAATTGACAGGACTTGCATCATTTTTATAGTAAGTGCAGTAAATGTAATTTAGATACTATATTTTTATGCGATATTAGCAACTAAAAAAATTTTGGCTGGATTTGGTTAAGCATAACAATTTTGTCTTGTATATGTTAGGTATTTTAGTGACATGCATACTTTTAACATAATGATCCCAGAAATAATGAAAATTAGTATCGTACATTGGAAAGTCTTTCGGTAGTGACGTTTAGTACTCTTTTTATTCGTGAAGGATTCCTGAATTGTGACCAAGAAACAATAAAGCAGCTTCACACAAGGCTGTGACGTACTCAATAGAATTAATAAATGATTTGAAAATCACTAATATTGTAGCTGATATACAGTATGTTTCAATAAATGTAGATCTTTCTGTATTCTTCAGTTCCTTTCTGTATTCTTCAGTTCTGTACTGTAATTTGCTTTTGTTGGATTAATGGAGATTTGAATATTGTTTTTGTAATAATTAATCTCTTTTATTTGCAAAAGGATTCTGCTAATTCATAATTATTGCTTGAGGATGGCTTTTGTAATTACACTTCTTTTTTAATCTGTCGAAAAAAGTCAAGTTTCTTTTATGGTTTATTCGTTTAGAAGATAATAATAATAATTTTTTAATTACTTTTTTTATAAGGTGACTTATGCGGCTTGGCATCATCATCTACACATGATGTTAGTATTGGAATTAATATTAGATAAATTGGTGATGCTTTCCTTATTACTGGTACTGTGTATCATGTTTACCTCTGGAGTGAGGCCACTCCAGACCAGGCCGACACCAGAGCGCAACTTCATAGTCTTCTGAGACTGATGGATGCCTACTAGTAATATCATATTGAACTTTGCCACCACCAAGATCATATAGTCTTTGTTATAGGAATTCGTGGATTTCTATGCTTTTTTAATCACAAGCCGTGTTGACCCTTTTACCTTCATAATGGTGCGGTATTGAGAGGGTTAGCATTATCAACTTTTCACATGAAAATCCACTGATTCGCCCAAGAATATTTGCTTCGAAGGCTGGTGCTCATTTGCTGCTATTCATAATATCTGTAATTTGAACATTCTTTCTGCTCACTAATTAATAATATGACCTGACTTTCTTCATTTGATTGTTCACACAATATGCGTGTGATCCTACTTAGGAATGATCAATAGATGTCTTTGAGATATGTCATAATTCTGCAGCTAATTTAAAAACTTGACATGTGAGCAATTGTATTTAGTACAGTATAATATGTTTCATATTATTGTATGATCTTCAAGTTTGAGTTTCTGTAGGGAACATGCATAGTGTATGTACTACTGGTCCCCCCCACATGATGCGGCTCGGGGGATCTATGACATTATATCGAGTCTAATAACATGATAGATATAAGAACCTAGGTTAGCATTACTCCTGTGTAGCATAAGATAAGAAATATATACAGTATATATATATATATGTATAGTATATATATAATTTATAGAAGAAACTATTTTATTCATATCTATTTAGCTATAAGGATTAAAGCTTCGAATGTGAGTGCTATTTCCATGTCATTTAAGACTGTGGATCCAACCATAATTAATAACCCAGGCATTAAATTTGTATATTATAAATTTACTGATATGTGCAAGTGGTTTATTTTTTTTTTTTTGTATTTTGGTGAAACATATTGCAACCATCATATTTTCATTATATTCAATTTCATTTCAAGATATTAAGGGGGCATTTGAGATAGAGGTGAAGTGCATAGCTTTTGCTTTTGTATTTCTGTATGAAGATGTTGCTTCTGTTTTGGGGGATTTAATGTTAGATTGTGATTTTTCCGAGATGGGATGATCGGTTGCAAGCAAGTCATTGCTAATGGTGTATTAGAACTTTGCTCTGGTTACATATTATCACCAGTGCGGACTCGACTCTCTACTCTTAAGTTGATAGTGTCGTTTAGCCACATCAAATTAAGGTTCAAATTTGGGCAGTTTTTTTTATAGATTTTTCAAGTGATTGAAGGAATAAAATAGGAAAATGATAATTAGATTTACCGTATAGGAGTAAGAATTCAAATATTACCATTACTTGAAGTGCAATACAGGACAGTAAAAGAAAATTTCAAGACAAAATTTGAATAAGATCAAATGTCAAATTAGTTTTTAAGTTGATTAAAAAAATGGGAGTAACGAATTTGCTAATCCTTTTATATGATGCAAATTAAAATATAAATTTCAGTTTTTAAATTTAATTAAGAGTAGGTTTTCATTAAAAAAAAATATAATTTCTGCAAAAAAAATGTAAAGTGTTTGCCATTCTCAGAAATATCATCTAGCATAAAATAATAATTAAGAAACGTGAAACACAATATATATTATAGACATATTTTTATATTTTTGTAATGTACAAATTGTAATACAGATTTTGATTACGATTTTCAGTTCTTTATAGGAGTAGATGTTTTTTTTCGAGTAGCGATAACTAAAAGTTCAAAAATGACACAGTGATACATATAAATAAGGTGTGTAATTAAAGCAAAAAGCATTCTTTGGTTTGCCACAGGGAATAGTAAACTATTTACTGAGCCAGAAACTACTCTTTGCTGAGCCAGAGTAAACCAAGCTTACTCTTGTGTTGATATGCAAGCAAGACCACTCAGCGCCCAATGATATGAGTGAACATTTGAGCAGCAATCTAATTCTTATCATCAAACACTGCTAAATTACCGTATAATGCACATATTTGTATAAGTACTACTACATCCAAATATTAGATAAGCTTGTGTGTGTGTGCACAACTGCTAGTAGACATGTACATGCTCCAAGAAATGCTCCAACACATACAAGTGCTCCAATACATTTATATATTCCAACACATACTCATACAGTACTCAATATGTATTAATGTTGTACATAAACACATCTTTCACGATTATGTGGGGGGTTCGTGACAAGGCATAGGGGCTTGCACAAATAGAATAATACAGTACTCGGTGTGAAATAAGTTGAGAAAATCAAACAAAATTACATTGAATTGCCAGTACAGATGTGTTCTTTTGTGATAAGTATTGATGGATTACTGTGTTACTTGCAGTGTGATTGGTGCTACTTACAATGTGGGAGAACTTTTAAGTACATTGCTTCTTCCCAATGGCTCTTGTCCCTAAATATAAATAATTTTTTCAAAATTCTTTAATTTTGAATGAAATAGTTGTATGTAATACCTAGCATGAATAGTAGGCAATTATTAATTTAGTTTTGAGGTACAGTAATTTTTAAATAAAATGCAAAGATTTGACCATATTTTCATAACATACCTTTTTACAAAATTGCCATCCATTATATGGGAAAGAAACTGTTTTCCGTTTTTATATTTAACGTTGCAATATATGTGATCTAGTACTGTATATAGTAAGTAGTAATTTAAACTTCTGGAATGAATGTATGTGTTTTTTTATACGTGGTTATTTATTTGGCAGTGTGTGGCCGGTTTTTGTTTTGTTTATAAGCGCAGTTTAGTGCAACAGTTAAGTATAGTATCAATACATCACCCCCCCCCCTCCTATTTTTGTTTTAAAACAGTTGAAAATGACAAATTGATGAAAATTATGGCACTTCTGTTTGCACTTGCAAAAATATACTCTCTTGCTTTTCTGCATTATAAATGAAGCTCATGCACATGTATGAACACCTTTTTCATGCTAGTGTTGTAACAGTCACTTATAAAAGGGAATATTGAGGAAAATTACATGCAGACAAATTTGTATTTCCAGTAAATTTGAAAGATTAGATTGTTTAAAACTAAATTAGAATCGAGGAAACTCATTGATGGAACAAAGCATAAGTGTTATGGCATAAGAACCAGAACACAACCAGTATGAACCTGAACACAAACAGCATAAGAAAACAGAACACAGCATAGGAAGCAGAATGCACATATTAGATCATTATTGGTAGGAACCTTAAATTACCACAAAAGTATCACTTCATTTTGTGATCATTTAAAAAACACATCCTCACCACCAGCTCGCTCGCTCTCTCTCACCCCCCTTCATACATCACCACTTGCCCAGCTGTACCTCTCACCCCTATCATATGTTACCACTACCCTGCTGCACATCTCACTCCAATATAAATCTATTCAAGTCGGTGGCTTATATTTACCACTGGTATTTTCAATCTCACCACACTTGACTTTTATTTACATAGGAATCTCAGTTAATCAAATCATTGCTATGTAAACCTGTATGTACCAAGGCACACACTACACAGTAGGGCTCTATTCCATTGGATGTGCTAGCTCTTCTGTGTTAGGATACCTTCTTTGTGTTGTGTGTTATGATATATTACCGAGTGTATTTGATTTACTTTTATTCTGTACAGCTTTTGTGTGTGTTGTGCAGTGTTACCCAAAATAAATACAGTAGTACTAGTATTTGCCATGTATACTAAGTGATATTATGTTAGTTGCACATACTTCAGTTTCTTGCATTTTAAACTGTACATTGTGTTGAGTGAGAGAAATATTATTCACAAAATTTGATTATTACTTTACATAATGTACAAATATTATGACCAATTCAGTGACTAATGCATGATGTACAAATATAAAAAAAATTATTTCTGTACAGTACTGGTATATGAACTGTAGCTCCGGTACGACAACCAGAATTTTTCCTTGGTTATCTTTTGACTACACAAAATATGTAATTCATATATTAATATGTAGTTAGCTTAAATTATAATGAATATAAGTGAGTAATTAAACTATTGTTCAGTTACTGAATTTAAATGAACTTAAATTACTTTTCATGTACGGTACTGTAGTACTTCAAATTATATAATACAAAAATTTTGCATAATAGGAAGGATTTTTTCCCTAGTAGAGTTTAGATTTTCAGAGTGATAGGAAACTTTCCTTCCCAACAATTTTTTTTTTAAGTAAGTCGATAACTAAATGCTCAGTGAATCAGATTATTTCAGTATACATAGACATTTGTCTGTTCTCTCATCAGTCATTTTCAGTGATCTGTTTGATATTTTATTAATTTGTGAATTGTATAATGCTAAACAATGTTGGGTTAGTAATTTGTTTGCTTATTACTTATTTTTGGCGGGCCTATCAAAGGGAAAATGAAAGAAATTCCAGGTAGGTACATCTGTGACATTATGCTAGATGATAAATAAAATCTGAATTGGCATTTGTTAACATTTATTTCACCTTCCAAAGGCTCCTACGACATACATAAGAGAAATCATTGTTGTGGTGAAAGGGAAGGAGAAAGTTGTCCTAACTGGCAAAATATGCTCAAGTAACTTTTAATCAATATTATCAATGCTAGGTCAATGTCATTTTCTCAATTTGTCTCTGGGATATATCTGTAAAAGTAACAAGAAATGCAAACTAATCTCTACTGCAAGCATAACTGAAATCTTAATTGTCTCCATTGACAATAAAGGACTTGAAGACTGTCACAATGGGCTCGAGATCGACCACAAATACAGTTTCTAAATTAAGCAGCTGACATATGTAGAGCTAGTGTCACAATTGATATGTTTGTCCTGCACACCGCCCTCCATCCAGTGGGCAGCGGTGGATAGGTTACAGTCAGTTCCTACCTACAGTTAGCAAACTAGGGATATTGTATGTCCCAGTGGCGCAGTGCTAAGACACTCTTCGCGAGCGCTTTGGCCTGGGTTCGTATCCTGCCCGGGGAGGATTTAATGGGGGCCAATCCTTACTGTAGCGCTGCTCCGGTGCCAGGTAAGTCCACTACGGGCTCACCATAGCCCGTGCTACTTGGAACTTCAGAGTAGCTAAATCTGTAACAACAACAACTTAACTGTAGCCTCTGTTCACCCAGTTGTTAAACAATTTGGCGGGTTGTATTCCTGGGAAAATTAGGACATTCCAATACTATATCTGTGATTACCCTGTTATAAGAGACTTCAGACCAAATGGTATGAGGTACTTTGAGCTCTGTAATTACGTCATACACCTAGGAATATTGGAAGATATTCTTGTGCTGTGCCCAGAGTGTGCTAGTGCAGGCTAATAGACCAGCCTTACGTTTCATGTTATCTCTTGATTTTTAGTCATAGTTGATTTGTTTTTGTATTGAGGCTGGTATTTTCTCCCCCTGATTCCATGTATGACTAACCATCCTATGTGATAGGAATATTATATGAACTTATAGCTAGTTCTTGATCTACACTATGTAATCTTTCATATAGAATAGGATAGCCCCGAAATAGAATAACCTGCCCGAAACGCTATGCGTGCTAGTGGCTTTACAAGAATGTAAGAACTCTTGTATATACTGTATAAATAAAAAAAATAAAACATTAAAGCATTGACTGTTTGACAACAATCTCACTTGCACCATAACAACTCCCCCCCCCCCCCCCCCCCGAGCCACTGGGGTTTAATTTAATTAAATACACATAGCTCTCGCGCATATCACGACACAAATAACAATTATCAATCAATGTTCCAGAAAGGAAACGTATATATTTATCTCTCAGAATGTTTGGTAATATGTTTATTGTTTGTGATGTGTGTATGTATGTAATTAACACGATGTACTGAAAGGGGTGAGAATAGCTTGAGCTACCTCATCCCTTTATGTGTATTTTACCTCAATAAACTTATTTCAATTTCAATGTTCTAGAAGCATCTTCAAGAGGAATGTCAGATATCTTTGCCAGGAAAAAAAAAAGGTAGTAAGGAAGCGCCTCTAGCGGCGGGCGGCGGCATTACAGGTGAGAGGAGAAGGTGGTGCTGGAGTCTGGAGGCGGCGCTGCCCTCAGTGTCTTGTCGACGGCCTTATAGTGTGCAGGTTACCCACTCTTCACTACAGTTATGGTAAGTCTCTTACCTTCTTAAGCCATTTATTTTACCTCATATACGCTTAATAATCTTAATCTCTCTTTCATTAATCCATTCCTCATTTATATATGTGTGAAAACGCGTTATTTAGGTAGGCTGTGTAGTTTGTGTGTCCCCGTGATGTTAATTCCAGGTGATATCGCTTTCTGTGGGAGGATACTGAACGCCCTTCAGAACGCCTCATGACGGCGTTTCCGCCTTATTGTGAGGCACGCCCGTGAGACTACCTACCTGGAGGCAGGAGGTGGGTGAGGTTGCTGCCCTGACCCACTCTTGAACGCCGTCGCCCCCCCTCAGTCCCTCCTCACCTGAGGGGCCGTCACCTCCCCCCCCCACCTTGTGCTCACCACTTATATGGCAGCTGGCCATCACCTCCTCCCTCCACCATTAATAATTGCGCACCACCTGGCAATCGCTTCCACTATACTGTCTATTTTATATATAGACGGTATAGTGGTCTATCCATACCGTCTATATCCGTCTATATACATAGTACTATACCGTCACAGTACCGTCGTCACCATCACCTAGCACTATATTACTATCACCATTATAACCTGCTATATATATATATATATATATATATATATATATATATATATAATATATATATATATATATATATGGCTTTTCCAATTGCAATTACAAATGCTATCAGAATCTCGGGGTTGGTAAGAAGTTGGAGGACTTCAACAATCGCCACATTTGGCCAAGAAGGCTTGTACATATTTATACAGAACCCACCCAACGAGTTACGGGCTCACCATAGCCCGTGCTACTTGGAACTGGTTTCGAGTAGCTGAATCTATAACAACAACAACAACAACACCCAACGAGTCATTATAACAGAAACCATGATTGATTAGCCAACTTCCCCTCCTCCATCACAGCCACCGTGTGAGGAGTTAGATTCATGAAGCAGTTACGCAAGCAATTATAAACGTGTACATCTTTCCTCAATCTTTGACGGTTTTGTTTACATTTATTAAACAGTTTACAAGCATGAAAACTTGCCAATCAACTGTTGTTATTGTTATAAACAGCCTCCTGGTGCTTCGGAGCTCATTAACGGTTTAATAATTGTAAACAAAGCCGCCAAAGATTGAGAAAAGATGGACAGGTTCGTAAGTGCTTGCGTACCTGCTTCGTGAATCTGGCTCCAGGATTCGAGAACTGTAGGTCGTCCTCCGCAAATCCACCTAGGTCAGTACTGCTAAGATACAAGCACCACTACAACACCACCACTGCTGAAACATTAAGAAAACAAAACAGCGCCGTTAGTAGAAACCCAAAATATTTTGACGCCCCAAGTTCAAGTACGTTTATTGAGACAATAAAATGCATCTCAAAGGGATAGCGTAGCTTAGGCTATTTCTACCCTCCATGTTTTGACACCTCGTCTCTCCTTTGGCTGAGGGCGCTTACCAATGCAGTCAGTCCCCCGCAGAAGAGCTCATTAAACCGAAAGCATAACCCAGGAAGGGAAGTATGTCAGTTCGGTTACAATGCCAGCTGCTGTTAGCATCCTTTAGTGAAGTTGTTAACGCCCTTACTCGGCCCGCAAGTGAGATAAGCCGGGATTGAACATAGGAAAGGTGGAATGACTGAGCACCATTTCCTCAATGCTCACCCCAGTGAACCCAATAGTAATTGGGGACTTGTCTGTGACGCTAATAAAGGAAAACAAGTAGGATAAGGCTCCAAATGAGCTGTAGGAGGGAAAACTCTGAGGCTGCTGGATACAATGATATCAAGCCAAGAACACATGCTGTTGCTTTTTTCAATGTGAGAAACATAAAGTGTAATAATGTGTCCAGCACATTTGTAGTTACGTTTCTAATACTCTACGTAGTGACCGAGAATCACGAAGTGCTCATATCTCTCTCTCTCTCTGCTGTCCTTGCTTACATTACATCGTGCATGTGCGTACGTGAATGCATGTACTTGAGTGCGTGAAGTAAGTGGGTTCTTCCGCTGGATATTTTGGTCCAAGTTTTTGCGGAAGGCGCGACTATAGTGGACGCTGGCGCCAAGAGGACTCCCAGATAGACTCTACCCAAGACACCTTGAAAAACACTTGTGATCATTGAAATAATTGTACAACTTAAACAGATTGTTCTGCAGCACCGAAACAACCAAGAGGAATTTAAATGTGAAAATTGAAGCTTCCCGCCCTTAAAATTGCAGGTTTAATTTCCCCTGTAGTACACGCACGAAAATAAAAACTAACGTAAGTACTATATGAAATGTAAGGATAGGCGTGATTTCCTATTGGATTTAGCGTTTGAGATTCGCTTGCGAGTACCAAATAAAGATTAAGCCACCCAAGAGGTGGCACGGGCATGAATAGCCCGTAAAGCGAGTACCAATTTGTTGCGCACCTAAGTATTTTCTGTGAAGATACAAGGTCAAGATTTCAGGTATGTGTATATAATTTTAGATTCTTTGTCTCAAATTATGGGTTTTGGTATGCTGAAGGATATCATTTGCATAGCTAATCCTAATTTTGTAGGACTTCATTGGTATTCATTTTAGTAAGGTATGAAATTACGAGTGCTTAGTGTCTTTTGGCGTAGAGGTTCCCGAGCCCTTAGTGGCTCTGTCCCATCTACATTTGAAGCTGTATGAATCTGTCTGTACAACTATATTTTTTAGCCTATTCCACTTGCTGACATACATCTGCTAGTGAAAGCTACCATAATCGCACGGCTTCGTTTCTTCCTATACCGGCAAAACTTGAGCAAGTTCTTTATTTAGTTGCCAACCCCCATCTACATCCCCGTCAGGATCCTTGACGCATCATCCAACTCATTGGTTACTATAAAGCGTTGAAGTCCCCCCCTCCCCTCATTCAAGTTCAAGTTTGTTTAATGAGACAAGAAAGAAATACATCTCAAAAGGATAGAGTAGCTTAGGCTATTTCTACTCTCCTCCCCCATCATTCCCACTCTAAATTCCTTCTCCACGTTTCCCTTTCTCATTCCCCCTCACCATTCCTTCTAATTAAAGCATGAAATTATGATGCCAGGTGAAATGATGGTGATAATTATCACAGTAACACGGTTATCTCGAATAACTTAACTCAATTACGGGCTCACTATAATAGTGCTACATGGACATTTTGTTCCGAGTAGCTGAATCTAAAACAACAAGGCTGCCATGTGTACTGACTATTCATGCCCGTGCTACCTCCTGGGTGGCTTCATGAATCGATCAGTGCCAGAGAAACCTAGCGACGAAGCCTCATTCAGCCTGTGGTCCCGCTAGGCTGGCACGAGTGTGAGGAACGGCGTCTGCTCCAGTGTCTCGCTCCTGCTCACTCACTATGGTTAACCTCATAATACCACTGTGGACCTATAAAAAAATCCCTATTTCCTGCAATCACGGGCTCACCATAGCCCGTGCTACTGGAACTTATTGTTTTGAGTAGCGAATATTAAACATCATCATCATCATCCTGCAGTCAAATTCCATCTCTCAAGAGTAGAAATTGTTAAGTCTCAAGGGATACATTTTTGGTTTACTATTAGCAGGAAAAAAAAGCATGCGGAAGTACTTGTGCAGTTTACACATATGTAAACTCCAATTAAGAAGAAAGTGGGGAGGGAAGAGGCAGTAGAAACCATATTCAAACGAGGCAACGTGCAAACAATCAGTACTGCAATGACTCCCAAAAATGCATCTGTTCTGAAAAAAATAGAAACATTGCACGCAATCTGAAAATATAATTAGTTTGTAAAGTATATTGGTATTGAAATGCCGCTGTCTAGAGCGAACTGGAAAGGAAGTGCGCGGTCACAAAACCTTGCAGCATGACCATCACAGCGTGGGACTTGAGGCACCGGGTGCAGGAGTGCGTGGCGGAGTAGTAATGCCTCAAGACTTTGAAGTGTGTGGGGGGAGGGGAAAGGGGGAGGGAGGGAGGGAGAGAGAGAGAGAGAGAGAGAGAGAGAGAGAGAGAGAGAGAGAGAGAGAGAGAGAGAGAGAGAGAGAGAGAGAGAGAGAGAGAGAGAGAGAGAGAGAGAGAGAGAGAGATAGAGAGAGAGAGATGGTGAGATGGTTTGATATATAGATTGATAGTTAGATAGAATGATATATAAATATAACTTAGATATATAACGATATAAATAGATAGAAGACGCAGTTAAAAATCAAGGGCGCTTGTTGAATAAACTCAGGCGGTGCACCTGTTGGCATGCATATACATGTAGTATCTCCATCCTACTGAACGTGTCTTGTGTGGAGTCTTTCTCACAGGCAATCCGGAACCACGCTACGCAATCAGCTGTCACTTCCAGATAAATATCGAGACACAAAAGCATGACATTTCTTACAATTTCCATTTAATGTTTAACCTCTCCCAGCGAAGCTTAAACACTATAATCATCTCCGGGCTGCTTCACAATTATGGGCTTGTGTGTAGGTCCGTGCTTATCAATTGTTATAACGAATTTATTTAAATATTTGAATTTATTTCACATTTGTGAAAGAATGCATCTGGAACAAGATTTAACTACCTTTTGTCTTCCTTACAGATGCGGTTACTCATCGTGTGTCTGGCAGCTGCGTCAGCTGCAGCGGTGAGTACGATAACCTCTACAGTTTCTCTTCTACACCATCTCTGGTTCAAATTAACATCGTATAATAATAATAATATTATTTTTTTATTTAGGTAAGGTACATACATAAAGAGATTTTACAAAGTTTGTTGGCTTTATAGATAGAGCTAGTACATACAATGCCTAAAACCACTATTACGCACAGCGTTTCGGGCAGTTATATCTTTATAACAACAAAATCTCTCGGGTTCCCATAAATTCTACTTCAGTACACCCACATGTAAAATAAATTAATTTATATGCATAAATCCACGGTAATTAACAAAGAAATCACCCCATTGTTACGGTTTGGAAAATAAATATATAATGAAACGTTATGACGTCAGTTCTGACGCATCGCTAAAAATATTTAACCCACCATTATGGGAAGAAAATGCTTTTCTCCTACGATGCGCGCACATGGCCATGACGTATATTTCTCTGAAGGGGCAGACCCCCTCCCCCCCCCATTTCCCTCCGGATTCCCAATTCCATACCTGACACATCACATGTTTCGTGACGATGGGGTGGAGGGAGGGGGGAGGATGGTGTCCGGTGGCTGGGACAAGAGGACCTCACTCATGCTGGAGAACACTTTTGTGGATGGTTTCATATCCTACCGTTAAAATCTCCGAGTGTGTGTGTGTGTGTGTGAAGTCACCCAGTTGTGCTTGCGGGGGTTGAGCTCTGGCTCTTTGGTCCCGCGTCTCAATTGTCAATCAACTGGTGTACAGATTCCTGAGCCTACTGGGCTCTATCATATCTACATTTGAAATTGTGTATGGAGTCAGCCTCCACCACATCACTTCCTAATGCATGCCATCCGTTAACTACTCTGACACTGAAAAAGATCACTGACAAAGATCTGAAAAGATCCAACGTCCCTGTGGCTCATTTGGGTACTCAGTTTCCACCTGTGTCCCCTTGTTCGCCTACCCTTGTGTGTGTGTGTATGTGTGTGTGTGTGTGTGTGAGGGGGAGAGAGAAAAAAACACAGACAGACAAGAAGACAAAAACATCTTTTTGTCTGCCTCCAAGACGTCCCTGGTGTTCGCCTCAATTATCGTCATTGCTTCTTTCCCGTGAGTCATGGGCTGAAGACCGTTATCCCTTTCTCTACCCCCACACCCCCCTCCCCACACCCCCTTTCCCCTCCGATATCTCTCCCGGCAAGATCGGGAGATCGTTCAGTGGCCGAGAGTAACCCGCCCTCCTAATAGCACGTCGCATTTTTGACGTATACTCTACCTAAGACCAAAAACTGTCGTGCTAGAAAATGGAAGCGGCTCGCGAAAATGATAAACTGTCCCGTTTTCTGTTTTGGGTCCTCTGGTAGTTTAGGATAAGAGCACTTTAGTCCGACAGTTTCTTGAAGTTGGGAACGCTTGCAAGGACGGGCAGCCAAGAGACCATACAGTGGCTGGGAGACCGTCCAGGTCACTGTATATGGCCTGGACCACCGTATAGTGGTGGGGAAGACGGTATATTGGTCTGGAGACCGTAAGTGGTGGGGGGGAGACGGTATAGTGGTTTGGAGACCGTATAATGGACTTGGGTTCGAATACTGGTACATGTGAGGGCGCCTGGTACATGTGAGGGCGCCTGGTACATGTGAGGGCGCCTGGTACATGTGAGGGCGCCTGATACATGTGAGGGCGCCAGGTACGGTGTCAACACTCGGGCGCCGTCATACTATATGCGGACACAGGACCGGATGGACACACACACGTACGCGCGTGTGTGTGTGTGTGTGTGTGTGTGTGTGTGTGTGTGTGTGTGTGTGTGTGTGTGTGTGTGTGTGTGTGTGTGTGTGTGTGTGTGTGTGTGTGTGTATTCATATTCATTCACCTATGTGCGTGCCTGCAGAACCGAGTGCCCTGTTTGTGGCTGCAGAATCGCGCTCTAGTTCTTGGACCCCTGTTTTCTAGCCGCTGGTTGTCTAAGGCAATAACTCCTGACATATTTTCCTATTATGCCTGCTTTCAAAGTTGAGAATTAAGTTTGCCCTGACAACCTGCGCCTTTACGTCAGTTACTCACTACCCTTACACTACACAGAAAACTTTCTAACCTCTCTGAGACACGTCTGGGTCTTAAGCCCACCATCCGTGCCCCCTTGTTTAGCGTGTGTGTGTGTGTGTGTGTGTGTGTGTGTGTGTGTGTGTGTGTGTGTGTGTGAAAAATTACCTAAGTGTAGTTACATGATGAGAGCTACGCTCGTGGTGTCCCGTCTTCCCTGCACTCTTTATCATATAACGCTTAAAAAAATAAAAAAAAATATCTGACGGTTTTCGCCTCCATTATTTTCTGACGTAACTTGTTCCAACCGTCTAATGCACAAAAATAACTTTTGGCATCTTTGTTTCCTTAGCTTGAATCTATAACCTCTTGTTCCAAAAGTTGCAATTTTCAAGAATTCTCTTTTTGTCAACGTTGTCGATTCCTCATACTGTTTTGTATGTAGGGATCATATCTCCTCTTTTTCGTCTGTCTTCCAACTTTGGATAGAGCTGGAAACTGATCCTGCAGATAAGAATAGGTTAGTGCACAGCAAAACCTTCTCTTGCACATTCCTTTCAACATTCCCACACGTCTACGAATACTCAAGTGTTTGCTAACTATTTAAACACATTATGCTTACGTGTTTGCGAGTGAGCTTTTATCAGTCGCACCAACTCGCTTATCGGGATATTCCTTACAGTCTCTCACTCAACCATTTATATTCACAACACAAAAACACACGCCAGAGAAGTATCCCAAATTTGCTGACTTTAGGTGCAGCCTGCACATGACTGTAAAGCTGCCGCCCAGTTGGGGTGGGTGTGGAGCAAGACTAGTAACTGTGTGACTCACCATAGATGTAAAGTGCCTTGTATAGTGACTGTTGTGAGCCTCTTGTTGAATCACTTGTGATACAAATGATTATTGATGTGTGTATTTGTGTAAGTGATTGTATGTGTATGTATATATATATATATATATATATATATATATATATATATATATATATATATATATATATATATATATATATAGCTAGCTGTTAGGTTTAGCAATTAGGCGTTGAGCACTCCGGGTGACTAGTTACACAGAACATCTAATTACCCAACTGTCTTATTCAGAAACTCGCCTCCATAGAACACCCAATTTACCATCTGGTCTCTCACCCAGCTGCCTCTAACCCACCATATCTCAAACCCGCCCACACGCCCGTCCTCTCACCCCCCCCCACCCCCCCACCCCACCCACACACACACACCCTGCCCGTTTTGACGTGCACTTGCAAGCATTCCTAGATTGCAACAAAGCTTGCGTCCATCTCCGCCTTTGGAGCACAGATAGTGAGAGACACGCCAAGCCATCACCAGGGCCATCTTAGGTCACCAGGTTATCTCTACGTGCTTATTGGTCATACGTTGGCCCTGGAGATGTGTGAATATGTTGCTGTTCTTCTTGGTTACGATAAGGAGTGAGGGGGTTATGATTTAAGGGGGGGAGGGTAGTTGGAGTTGATGGGGGGGCTACGAGGAAAAGTAGACACTGTAGGAGGGTAGAGTAGATGGAAGGTAGGGGGAAGATCAATAAAAATGAGAGAGATTATATGCCTTTAGAAACCTGTAAGTGTAAATCAAGACGTCGGTGTGTGGTTGAAGAAAGCCAATTTCCTCGCAACATCCACCTGCATTCCTGCGGTGGAGGTGACTCGTCACGTGCGCCTCTGACACGGACCAGACTCGACTCATGCATTTGCTTTACTGACCAGCCACTTAACATGCACCTCCTCCTTCTCCACCACGACCAGACTCCCAACACCTTCCGCCCAAGACTCTGCAGGGAACACTGAGGGCCTCTGCTCCCCTTCCTTGTTGGCTCCTCTGGTCCACCGTGAACCAAGTGTTTACAATGAGAATTAGTTGTATATTGGTCAGTTCTGTGCACTCAGATTACCACAATAATAATAATAATAAGTTTTGTCGGGGGGACAGGCAGCCTGTGTATGTATATACGTTAGCTTGGTATCGATTCCCTCCCCTCCCTATAAGGTAGAACTACTGATCTCCCACCAGGCTGCAACCCCACAACAATTGACTAACTCCCGGGTATCTGTTTACTGCTAGATGAATAGTCATTAGGTGAAAGGAAATTTGTCCAACCATTTCTGTCCCGGCAGAATATTGTGTAGAGGGTTTCAATTGTCTGGAGATAGGAAATAGAACCAGCTCCCACAACACTTTTCTTCAGAAATGCATTTAATTCCTGAATTATCTTTCAATTCCTCTATAGCTCTTATTGTTTCTTTGAAAATTAAAGATTTCAAATTTCCACACAAATGAATTGGTAGACGTTCGGCTGAAGAGCGACCTCTCGGACCTTATATCCATCGCAGATACCAAAGAAAACAATACTAAATTATATTGGGAGTTGCTTGTGGTGCTGAGAAGGGTAAAGGGTGTTGGGGCGGACAGGGATGACCTTGTTACAGGAAGGGACGGGTGGAAGTGGTAGAGGCAAAAGAATGGGGTTACCCTGAACTCATCCTACCTTACCACTTCGACTGGTCTAGGTACAGCGACGGCTTCCTTTCTTGTAGGTCGGTGTTCGATATCCGATGATAGTCAAAGTAGTTGCATTCATATCCTCTGTCCTTACCTGGACTCACCCTGGGAGCTAGAAGAAGGGATTGGGAAGCATGAACGCCGCCCACACCAGTCTTGGGTCGGCCTGAGCCACCCTCATTATCTACAAGGACACTGCCTCACTCCTTTCCTTCTCTGTCGTAAGCTTATACTCTTATCTGGAATCGCATTCCTTAAACACTCATTGTCAACAAAGCAATTTTACCAATACCAAAAGCCTCTAAACTTTTAAGTAATAGGTATTCTGTGCTGAAGGCATTGTTAAATGTTAAACTTGGCGCCGGCAGGGAGGGCCGCGTCCAGATAAGCAATTTAGTTATTGTTGTGTTTAGTTGAGTTCATTTAA